CTCAAGCTCCAGTTCCCCTATCCTGCGGCATTTCTGAGCAGCCAGCCGCGTCCAACCTCCAGTCTATTACGATCATCTCGAGTGTAGAAGTTCCTGAGAGAAGGCTGCTCGCGCGCGAAGAGCTTCTTATGCAGCATGACAGCCACCTCATGTGGGAGATTCATGCGTGGGTGCTCTTAAACCGAACTTCCTGCTGAGCATTTGCTTACTGGAACATGTATAGGGACATACTTCTCTTATGAGTGACGTAGGAACACGAAACGGCGAGTAGCGCGAGCAGCAGGTCGAGTGGTTGATCGAATATCCCACGGCAATGAAGCAGCGTAAGAAAGTTTGGCAAGACAAGGTTGAATCATAATCCATTCATGCAACTACCTAAAGCCCAACCTAACGCCTCTATTTTCCATGCCCCGAACCGGATGCGGATGCAGTCGTTAGACGCTGGGTATCGCCACGGTGAATGCAACATCAGCCGATGTATATCACCACCCACTGTGGTCATATTTCTGTCCAGTCGACATGCCGTGGCTCTTGGCCGAATCATTTATTGAACGTGGAGGCGATTCCACCTTACACCGCACCCGTAGACACCATCTTCTTTCGCAGGTGGTTCTTGTAGTCTCCGATCGAGCCGTCCCATCTCCGTACAGTCTTGTTCTCGCACACCATGATGTCTTTGGCGATCTTGTCAAGCAATCTGCAAGACACGTCAGCATGTACATCTTGAGAGGAGCCAGAATGATTTGTGATGGCTTACCTGAAGTCATGAGAAACAACAACAACACCGCCACTGAAGGCATTGATAGCGTCCGCCAAGCTATCGATCGTTGGGATATCCAGACCGTTAGTAGGCTCGTCGAGTAGAAGCATGTTCGGACCCTCAATGGCCAGCAATGCGAACACGATTCGGCTCTTCTGACCCTCGGACAAAGTACCCATGAGAGCAGTCTGAGACTCTCCGCTGAGACCATAGCGACCGAGCTGCTGTCTCCAATATTGGTAATCTTGACTCTTGCTGGCGTACTTGTCCCGCACAAAATCAAGCGCAGACTTGGTGAGATCGAGCTGGTCGGCAGAGTGCTGGCTGTACATGCCAAGCTTCAAGTGAGTATGGCGAGAGACGGTACCGTGGGTGGGTGAAAGCTTGCCCGTAAAGATGCGGAGCAGCGTAGATTTGCCGACACCGTTGGGTCCGACGAGCGCCGTTCGGGAGTCCATGTCCACGCCGAAGTCGAGGTGCTCGTAGAGGTTGTCCTCTTCCTTGCCGGAGTAGGAGAAGGTGACATCATCCAGAGAGAGCACGGGCGGCGGTAGTTTCTCGACGTCTGCGAAGCGGAATGTGAAGACGCGGTCTTGGTGGACTGGCTGGATGAAGCCGTCGGCCTCCATCTTGTCGAGAATCTTCTGACGTGACTTTGCTTGTCTGACCAAGTTGGCGTATGTACCAGCGGAGGCAATGAACTTCTTGATGTGCTTGATTTCGTCCTGCTGTTTCTCGTATGCCTTCATCTGGTTGATCTCCTGCTCGGTCCTGGTCTTGATGTATGAGTCGTAGTTACCGCCGTAGTATATCAGCTTCTTCTCGCGCATGTCGATCATGTTCGTGCAGACACCGTTGAGGAAGTCCATACTGTGGGACACCAAGATCAACGTGCGGTCCCATTTCTTCATGTATTCTTCCAACCACACGCAGGCTTCCAGGTCCAAATGCGCAGTCGGGTCGTCGAGGAGAAGCAGCGAGGGCTTGACGAAGAGCGCCTTGGCTAACGCAACCCTCATTCTCCAACCACCGGACATATCCTTAGTCTTCTTGTGAATTGTCTTCTTGTTGAACCCGAGACCGATGAGAATGAGCGAGGCACGGGTGTGGAAGGTAGAAGGATCCATCGTTTCCATACGCTGGCATCATGTTAGCAGACATACTCGTATGCTGAAGCCGGGTTACTAACCTCGTAAAGGTCTTCTAGGACCGGGCTGTCAGGGCCGTCTCTTTCTAGAATATCCTCGGCGAGTTTCTCCATTCGCGCCATTTCGTTCTCTGCCTCCTTGACGACCCACTCCAGGGCACCAAGGTCGCTAGGTGGCGCACCCTCGTTGAGGAGGTAGATGTCGATGTGGTCTGGGAAAGGGAATTCGCGCTTGTCGATGGCCTTGAGCAGCGTGGACTTTCCGCAGCCGTTCTCACCGAGCAAGCCATATCTGCGGCCGTATGAAACTTCGATCGTGGTGTCGTTGAAGAGGACTTTGCCATGGAAGACGAGCGACGCGGAGGCTATCTTTACGTCTCGGCTCGACTCAAGCGATGCAAGCACACCGGTTGTAACTCGATCCGAAAGACCATGCTCGTCCTCTTGCAATGTCAACTTCTTGACTTGTTCGCTGACTCCCTCAGTGTCTTCAACGTCTATCAGTGGCGTGTCATCGCCGTTGACCGACGAGGCTTTCGACCCGGTCTTCGAAGCGGACTGCGAGGCGGCTTTGGAGGAAATTTTGGAGGTGGCCGTCTTCTTGGGTTCCTTGCCGTCGGCGGCGCGTTTCGCCTGACGGGCAGCCTTGGATGCGGATACCATATTGTCGAGTGTCGAAAGGCTGCGAAATTATTCGATTCAGAGGAAAGAAATTTTGGAGGGACAAAGGATGTCAAGCAGTTGTGGTGGGGCGGCGGTTTTTATCGATAGGTACCGAAAGCCAGAAACGAGAACCTGAAGATTCAGGCAGTAAAAGTGTCTACTTGCAGAGAGGATTATTTAAAGTGAGAGGAAGTACACTCCGAACAGGAAATATAAGTGGACTTGATAGCGAAGCGTTGCAAAACTTCTGCGAACATTTTTAAGCTTATGTTGAATGTTGCGATGTGGCGAGCACACCCCAAATGCGGCTATCCAATCACGAGCACTCACAACCGCATGCTGGAATTTCATGGAGCATCGACAAGTGAACAGCACGGCAGATACTTCTACTTTTGTTACTCTAAATGTCTATACAAACCCCTCGAGTTATCCGTCTATGATCTATTATGCATAATGCCCGCTGTGAAAGGAAACTTCTAGCACCTTCATCGATGGAATGCCCCCAGTTGCACATGTCGCTGCTCGGCACCCTGCTTCGCGTTGGGAACCTGCGCCTCAAACTCCGCATCTCCGCCGGCAACACCCCCTGATCGATTTCGTGAGGCTCAGCACGTCCTAAGGCTAGGCTGGTATTTCTCTCCTCGCCCAACTACCCCTTCCTACTTGTTGAATATCCGTTCGGAAATCAAACAGCCTAAGATAGCTCCATAATGGCCTTCCACGACTTCTCCTAGGATGATCCGTAGGGCGGTGGTGAGTGCTGCCATAATAATCGGGTAAATTGAAGGCGTGGCAGTTCGATCCGTTACGCCAGAGTTCCGTGCCGTCGCCTGGGCTGGATGCGCTCGGATATATTGCCTTTAGTGCAGCCTTCAGCATCAGGCTACGCTGATGGGAATCCAAGGGGGTTGTTCCAGTAGGGGTGCGTGAGAGCCTTAGTCGGCACCCCAAGTTGAGTCGCTGTCAACACTAGGTGCTGCAAGGTTTCGACGCACTAGATGATTGCGAAGGCGAGACCTGAATATCTGCGCTATTCCCTTCTCTTCTGGACCCAGCGAAAAGTTTTCCGGCAGTAGAATATCATCCGCAGTAATGATGACACACTGCTCCGGATTGAACCCGTAGACTTTGCTGAACGTCCTCTCCAGTTTCTGCACGTCCGCGTCTTCTGCTTGCTTCTCTACGTCTTCTGCTTGCTTGGCTTCGTGGTCAATCTGCCGGCCGACCTTCAGCGGCGTCCACCAAAACATTGGAAACTGCCGTTGGATGTTGTTGACAACCAGGGCCACAAAAAGCATAAGGACAGCCCCCAGAAGGACGATGGGCACAAACATCCATCCCATGGCACTGGCGACAGGGTCGATGGCGGCAATCAAAGCCGTGGCGCCTCCCGGAGGATGGATTGTGTTTGTGGCTCCCATGATGCTTGAAGACAGGCCGCAGGATAGGGCACCAGCTAGCCATCGTATATCCTGAAAGTTTTCACTTAACATAAAGAGTTTTGTGATGGCCACGCCGACAACGGCTGAAAGACCGTGGCCGACGATGGCATTGCGAGGCTGGGCCAGAGGCGACTTTATCGTTTGGTAGTCGAGGATAGCCGTGGCTCCCTGATCCATGTTAGTCACAAGCCAGGCCCAGATGTGCTGACAGAGTACATACAAAACTTGCGAAGAGCACCGGTGGAGAGTACTTCTGAATGGCATCAACCATATACACCTGAGCCACGACTATTATGCCTATAAAGGCCCCCACAAATGCCCAAAACCATACGAGCACACTGCCGACATCGACAACAGCGGACTCGCGGTAGCCGAGGAACCTTGAGATTGGCTTAGGAAGGCGGTGGAGCTGCGACGGAGGGACAAAACGGTTGATGTACTTGTCGATGTCGAAGCTCATGTCCTTGGCTGCCGGAAATCCCATTTTGGATGTTGAAGCTTGCTCCTCTTTCGTCTGTAACAGGGGAGACCGCCAAAGAAGTACAAGTAACGGCCCTGAGGCTCTCCAGATGAAGAGCCGGCGGCCCGCATGAAGCTTTTCATCATCACGGAGATCTAAAATCTGCTTACCTGCAACGGAAAGAGCACCTCACGAGCGTGGAAGGTTGCAGCTTTCCATAACGTAAAAGTACGTAATAGGTACCCCTGCTGACGAGAGCTCCCCCGGATCGTCGGTTATTCGGATGTACGATCATGATGAGTGCCTAAGGCAGGTAGTACGTAGTTAGAGAAAGCAGAGTTTGCTCGAGAAGGCGTGGCTGGACATGCTGTTAGGTAGTTGAAGCCTGCGGGTGGGTTGAAGTAATGAAACTAGGCCGGAGGGCGCACGGGCATTTTGAGCACACAAGAGATCGCAAGGTCAGCAATCTGCGAGACAGAAGTGGTCTATATAACCATCCAGCCGCACCCGCTTCTTCAAGATCGACAAGTCTTCGTGGTGTAGTCGGTTATCACGTCGGTCTCATATGTCGCTGTATGACTATCTGGTTAACCAGATGGCGATCCGAAGGTCACGAGTTCGAATCTCGTCGAGGACATCCTTTTTGCTCTTTCAACGCCTTCTTTCTATGCTCAGCATGAAGAGAAGTTGTCCTGGAATTTTTGAAGTGTGCGGATTGATTGCGCACGTTGCTTCGCCTCGCGGGCCCTGCGGAACCAGTATGGATTTCTTTGAACGGAGCTACACTTCAAACCCCTCCTTAGAACAGCAGGGAAAGATTGCTCGTGAGGCCTGCCCGTGAAGCCTGACCAGGAAGCCTGACCAGCACCTGCCAACTAGCACTTAGCATGAGGGATCTTACAAGAATCTTTCAGACTTCAGGTAACCTGCCTCAGCTCGGGAAATAAGGTGCCTATCCTTCTTATTCTGATAATACTTTACAGCACTCAGCTGGTGGGTATGCACATTGAGGTAGGCTATATCAAATATCTACTATTTGTCCTGTTTCCGCCACTGCATATATTACAATTAACTCAATCGTTTGGCGGTCTACGTATGTTCTTGTACACCTGTCGAAACAATACGCTTCGAGTTTAGGCAAGGATGTTTAATAAGTCACAGTCGCGAACGCTGAGTCCAAGTCGCCAGCCCATTCCCCATATATCACGTTTAGCCATGATTCGCGCTCTTTCTTTTAACGGTATAACTTGCTGTTGCTACATAGATAGATGCCCTCTACGGAAGTGCAAAGGCGGTGAAACGGGATACTATCCGTAGGGCTCTACGTCGGCTATCTCAACCGCCGAGTAGCTCGCCCAACTGCATTTACTCCCGATCCTGCAGAAAATTGATAACAGCTAAAACCAAGTCAGCGAAGCCACTCGTCTAAGGTCATGCAAGTAAACCAACCTTGCCTAAACGCCTCCGGGTTCTCCGAAGTGACCCAATGCCCCGCCTCCACATCCACAAGCTCAAACCGCGGAAAAAACCTCCCGATAATCGGCAGCGTCTCGTCCGAGACATAATGGCTCCTCATGCCCCTCACGAACAGCGCCGGCTTTTCGAAGCGCACGCCGTCCGGGTCTTTGAATGGGAAGTCCGCCATGTTGTCCAGAGCTGCTGCTAGGTACTTGATCGGGATGCGCCATTTCTGGTGCGTGCCGTCTTCGGAGCGGACGAGGTTTGTGAGGAGGAACTGGCGGACGGGGAGTTCCTGGCCGAAACGGTTAGCTGAGCTGTATGGGAGCTTGGTAGGGGTGTCTGCGCCATTACCTCCGCGTAGTCCTTGAGTATGGCATCAGCGTCACTCTGCCTTTTGACCTTCGCATCCTCGACCTTTCGCATGCCCTGCACGTATTTGGCGAAATCGCTTTTGAGGGCCGCGTCGACGGGTGCGTTGTCCACGGAGATGATGTTGGCGACTTTTGAGGGCGAGCGGAGGGCTACGGTCATGATTGTTTTGGCGCCCCTGGATAATCAGCTGATGCTCTGGGAGATGTTGGCTGAAGCTCGAACATTGAGTGCCCGATGAGCGTGGATTCCTTCAGCTCATGCTTGTCAATAAAGCCCTCCACGTCTTCGGCGAGCGCATCGTAGTTGTGCCTTGGGTCATGCGGAGAGTCGCCATGATTACGGAGGTCCTAGTAAACCATTTGAGCTTCAGCTGTGGGCGTGCCGGCGGCAGGATTGCTCACTATCGCGTATATGGGCCGATTGAGGTCGCGCGCAAGAGCTCTGAACGCTAAGTCAGCGTTGCTTCAGACAAAGGAAGTACCACGCGCGAGAACCTTACTTACTTATGCTCCTGTTGTTCTTCTTGGAGCCGAAAAGACCGTGGGCGAAGATTATCGGAGCATTGATACCGACTGGTTCTTTTCCTTTGGGAGGTTCGTGCAGGTCAAAAGCTAGATCGAGCCGCCGTAAAGCTTGAAATGAGGAAAAGTGGCGATTACAAGGTCGATACAGCTGCCTCCGTAACTGCAACGGCGCTTGTCGCGGCAGCATGACGCTGTTCTTTGGTTGCAAGAGTTGAGGCCGCGTTCAGATTGATGTCGCTGTAGCCGTAATTTACGAGCAAGGCGCCGTTCTGAATTTACATTACAGCCCGTTCTGAATCCGAGGACGCTTCAGGACGCGCATAAATCCACGATCATACATCATTTCGAGGTGGGCAGAGTCATAAAAGCAGAGTCTTGCACAGTACGAACGAATCATTCGTAACCTCTTTTAGAGCTACCAGCGCTTGGACTAGCAATGAAAGACATCTGTATCAAACCCACGCCCGCTTCCACCCCATCAGAACGGCTAGTTAATCTCAACGACCGGTGAGCAAAAGCACAACAGCTCGTGAACGAGAGGAGAATCGCAAGCATCCCGCCACCTCTCCACTGCTTTGTGGTCCCGGTAAGCAAGGAGCTCCACCACGCCTTCATATGGCTCCATAGCCTTGTATTCTTCCGAAAGCTCTGACACTGATGCCTCGGGCGACGACACCAGAGACGGCACCGACCCTTCCTCGCCGCGGTAGTGATGTTGTGGCACCACCAGAAAAGACTGCGGCACAATAGGCGCCCACCAGAAATTTTCAATTACGTTGTCCTCCTCAGCCGGCCTGAACCAACATCCCTCCTTGCATAGCTGATCGCACGCGTGCCAGTCCCGGAAGCCCTGTCCTACAAGTGCCAGGACCCCGTCGACGCTCTTGACCATAGGCGCTGCATACTGTGGGATACGTGCGAAACCTGCGCTGTCCGTGCAAAACATGACTCCGTAGTCGAACCAGGGGAATTCAGGTTTAAAGTTATCCTCTGGGAACATTTCGAAGCGCTGGCGGAGGTAGTTGTAGAAGACGTAGACGTGCGGAGTGTCGTGGAAGAGCTCGATGACCTGTATGAGCGAGTTTAGCTAGGGAATCACAACGTTGAGGCGAATATTGATATCGAGGTTGTCGGCGGCGGATTTGAGTTCATACAGTCCATGCGGGGAAGACGGGCGGCGGTGCGGTCAACCTGTACAAGGTCAGCTCTGGCGTATGAACGTTGTTAGTCTTTCGGTGGAAGCACGAACGTGACTGTCTCAAAGCCGTCGAACTTTTGTAGCTTATCCGCGCCTCGACGGTGTGCATGAAGGATCTTAGGCCGCGATGTCCGAATACTCGTCCTGTCAAGAAGCTCGCAGATACCCTTGGAGGGCTTGAACATCGGATCGAAGACGAGTAGGTTGCGAGCCCCACCCGCACGGTGCTCGAAGCCTACCACCGTGATAGAGTGGCCCGGCTGTTGCAGGTAGATTGGCGGTAGCGAGGTCTTATGGATACGGTCGTGTTTGTCGTCTTGGCCTAGCTTGAAGTAATCTTCGACGAAATCCAGGAGTTTCTCATGGGCCTGATACCCGTCGGCTGAGTCAAAGAAGGCTCCAGTTTGATGCTGGATATTGACACTCTCGAGGAGTACGTGTACCTGGCTTCCTCATCAGCAACGGAACTGCAGTAAATAAAAGCTCATTGATGATGATCATACCTCAGGAGTACCAATGTACTTCCTAGTCCCCTTGATGCCTCCTGTCTGAATCCGCCCTTCCGCGCCAATACCTTTGTCCCAGGCCTCTTCGATGCGATCTTGCAGCCAGAGCACGCCGGGAGTCCTGCCGGGGAAGGACTGATAGCCCCGAGCGCGGGCCCCTTGGACGTAACTAAAGAGCATCTGCATGTTGCGGTACCCGCAGAAGCCGCCCTCGTTTCTGGTGCTACCAACGTGCACAGCGGCCGGGTGACAGAACCAAGCTTCGCGGACAGAAGGGTCGGCCTCGCTGAGTTGAGCCAGGACAGGGACGAGGCCGGGGGTTTCGTTCTCAACCTTCTCCTGCTTGATGATCCGGCCATCACGGCTGATGCGGTTCTCGAAAGTTATTTTTGGGCCTTCCCTGAGCTGGTTGTAGAGCCACTTGGGCATCTTGTCTTCGTACGCGTACGGTCCGAGCTCCTTGGTCTGCTTCTTGGTTAGCAGCCGTAGACAACCTAGCGGAAGGCAGAGCGGCCACATACTCCTAAGCGAAAGACGTCTTTGTGGTGCTTGTCCGGCGTGTGTTTCTGTTTTGGTGAGAAGCCCGCAAAGCTAAGGATAGTGCGGCTCAGCGAAGTCTTGTCGCTGCGAGTGGAGTCTGCTCGCTTCCGTTTGCTCTCATGGCGTAGTGATTCGTGGATGTCTGTAGAGAAGTTTTGCTCGTAGAATGATGAAAGAGGAGTCGTAATAGCTTGAGTGTGCATCTTGTCTGATTGAGAATGATTGGAATGATCGTCAAGAATAAGGCCTTCTGCAAGATGCAGGTCAAGGTGATCGTTGAGTTCGACAAGAAGTACTTCCTCGCCGCATGCCTCTTCTGGACAGCTGACATATTGAGTTGACGTGTCATCGCTGCTGCCATTGTTTCCGGAGTGCTCCTCTTGTTGCAGTGCAGATGAGGAGGGAACAGGGCTGTTGTCTCTGACTACGAAAGGAGAATCCTCTGTGTGCAGCTCCTCGATATGGAGTTGCAGGACATACAGCTCTGACTCTGACACGGCGTAAGAACAGAAAGGACAGCTTAAACAAGGCGCCATTGCTGGTTGTTGCTAAGCCGATATAGAATATGGATGAACTGAGTGGCAGGAACGCTGTCCAACTGCTCCTGAGCAACTACCGCTGAGATTGACGTGACCTGACTGAAATGACGTAGACAACCTGCGTGGCGTAACAGTTTGCCATTCTGCAACTTTTGAGGTCTGCGTGATAGTCGACAAAGTCAGTATGTCAGCACCGTGTGAAGTTGAAGCTTACGTGGTGAGGTTAATCGGAGGTGAGGTTGGCCGAAGCAACTTCATGTGGCACCGCGAGACGCACTTGAGGGATATCGGCAACTTGATACACTGGAACCTTGTGGTTACAGTGTCTGATAGATGCTCCAGTGCATGCTTAGGACAAGTAGAGCCAACACTCCAACAATGACTCGTATGAATGATTGCTCAAACGACTGTCTTATCACGGGCACCGCAACCCGCTGTCTAGACAAACATTACCCTACATCCAACACTGTCCCCGCTCTGCGACAAATACAACAGCG